TTAAAAAAAAAAAAAAAAAAAAAAAAGAGAATGCCGATATTTTTCCATATCGATCAAGACTAAATCACAATAATGCTATGAAATTGCTATGGAATACGCGTATTCCACGTCACCAGGTATATTAAACACCTAGATCGTTATTCAATACACAAGTATACAAGCCACAAAACCACATGGCGCTATTTAATCTAGATTCGTTCAAGGAAAGTTGGACATGTTCATTTACTACCGGTGTCATTAGTACTGAAAGCTCGCAAATGAATCAAGCTCTTCTTTATATTTATTTCCTAATATTTCTGCACGTGCAATTTTTTTGTCTACCTGCGATTTTATTCTTCGCATTAGTCATACCCAACACCGAGAATGACTGACCGTAAAGTCTCCCGTTGCGTAAGGGACATGTTATTTAACAAAATTATTACTCAAGGCCCCCAATGAATTTGTAGAAAATTATTTAAAAAATGGAACAGCTCGAAATTAGTTAGAAATGTTTAAACATCTAAGTTAGATATAAGATTTCTCAAGTAAATTTTGAGAATAGCGTATGAAAATTGCTCAGAAAAGGGAAGTCTGCTTTTAAATAGTGATCGATTGGCAGCACTCGGTGTAATTAGCATACTGTATTGCGCAATCGTTAACCTCGACTTTTATCTCATCGACGTACTTCGGACAGACGACTGATCTCAAAATCTGAACACGTGATTTTTGTCCAGTAAATGATATGATAAATCGGTTTAGATTAGTCATTCTTTGTCTCATAAGTTTCATTAAAAACGATAGCTTGCACCTTGAAAATCTTAGGTTGCTTATAAAATTCTATAATCTATTTTATCTACTTATTGTATCTATTATTGTATCTATTTTAAACCTGCTCATACTTAGCGATTTTTATTACGATTTTGATTAGAAAATTTTCGATTTTCCTCAATGGGAACTTACGAATGTAATTTCTCAGATATTTTTACCGGTATGAAACATCTTCAACTGCACACGATGACACTTCCAATTATGTCATTTTCTTACATAACGCAACGTTTTCAACGCTACTGTCAAGATTGATTTGGAGCAGTTCGATAATTAATTACTCGGTTGTTACATTTTTTTACTTCTGTCCACGTTTACGATAAAGAAGTTAAAAATACACGATCTTTATCTTCTTTTCATGAAACAAAGTACAAATCAACTCTGCTATTTTTCGAATAAAGATCTCACGAAGAGACGACCACGCCTACTCGTACGTCTTGACGAATTACGACTCGTTTCTCATTTACACGATGTCAATCTAATTTTGTTTTTCAAGCACCGAGATCCTTTGTCAAGTGTGGCTACTGATAAATAACTGTACGAAAAATTTCGAGGTTAGACAATGCAAAATCTCGCGAAAGGATCCAAGTATAACTTCGCGAGAGGATATCTATGATCAAAGAACAATTTCTCGAAATTATCAACAATTTTCTATATTTGTTTTAGGATTAAACGTAGGAGATAATTATTTCGAATATACTCTATCCCTGTGTCGCTATAAAAGAGCAATGGAGAATTTTCTGAACAAGAGACTCGTTTATTTCTTTTTCTCTTTTTTTATATCGTCAATTCGATTGCTATTCCTTTTTTCGTTATCAAAAATTGTTATTTACAATGTGCAGCGTACAATATATTTATAAAAACCGATAGTCGACGATCAATAACCCACTTACAAATCGCGTTTCTACTGCGCATGTCAGACAGTCGATGCACTCGAGGCTATATAATTATCTACTTTTTACTTTTCCTCTTTTTGTATTTCCCCGTTATTCTTACTTTTGACAGTGCGTGCAAAGTATTATATGAATTATCTATGCAGCAGATAACGAGGCTACCACGATCAGGGCGGATTTTCATTTGTATTAAAATATCATATTTTCTACCTTTACGCAATTTATTTGTTTAATTATAACGGGAAAAGGAAGAAGAGGTTAATGTTAAATGAGAATAGTAATTGAAAATATTGTTCAAACTTTTTTTATAAGGAAAAGAAAAAAAGAAGTAAAAAACTTGTTCAGCCATAAATTACGTCACCATTCAATTGTTTTTTAATCATTACAAAAAATAACGGTCAGCTAAGTTGCATTTAAAACTTTATGATAACGTATGTATATATATTGGAAAACATAACCTGAATTTGTGATAACAAAAAATATTAAAATTCGTATATAAATGTATATGTGGAAAACGATCAATACTTATGAGTGCTTTACTAATGAAAAACAAGTTATTAATAAATTATGGTGTAACTTATGTAGCAATCAATAAGTTCATAAAAAAAAGAAACTTTAACCATATATCATGGTAAATCAGCTTTTAAAGTAACATTTAGGCTGACTTGCATTATTTTCTCTTTAAAATTCTACATTTTTTTCGAATGAACAATTGACTGCTGAGTAGCGGAACCTTGAAAATTGGTTGATCACTTATAAGCGTGCACAATAATACTAAATTTTGTCTAAAAAATTATTCAAAAAGTTGCTGCACTTTTAAGGTAACTTGTATTAAAATTGTGAAAGAAATTACAACTTTTTTATTCACTTGTTAATAAAAAATTTACAGTTTTTTTTATTCAGAATATGAAAATATTGTAATAGATTGCTTCAAAAATTTTATAGTACAGATTCAATATAATATTTTTTACCTTTGCAAAATACATTTTACTCTATACAATAATGCGTTCAATAAGATTATCTTTTTATAATTTATGACTGTTATTATCTCTATCACGTATGTTCAGTTTACACAGTATAAGTATAAATAATTTATTCATCGTATAGAAAAGCTGTTGGAAGTAATACGCTCCCTACTGTTCGTAAATTGCATTTCG